TACCAATTCTGACACTAACCATCCCTCCCACAGCACTCTCTACTTCTCTGCTGGGTTTGATAATTCATTGCAGTGGCCACACACAACTCACAGACCAGACTCATCATTACGGGGTTTATTAGGGAAGTAACAGGTTACAATTCAGGCTCAGGAACACTCAACACAGTTCTTCTATCAGGACAGCCTCTTCCCAGCTGTACTCTCAGGCACTCCTCTCCCTGACCCTCAGTCTCTGCCCAAAGGCACTCAGCTTTCTAGCTCTGTGGGCTGGGAAGCCCACTTCACTGTCTCCTGTGTTTCTCTCTGCAGGTCTCTCCTTTCTTGGTGGTGGTGGGCTCCCTTCTTTCCTGCCTCTGAGGTCGCTCATTTCAAGCCCAGTGGAAGATGGCAAAATGAACCAATGCCTTTGGTGGACTACAATTACCCTATTTGCACAGTCCCACCCAATCACCTTGGTGGGACTTACAAGACCATGGCTAGAAAGGCCACAAAAAGTGATCCATCGCACCACAGAAGGTCATCAGTAACCTTCCGACCCAGTAATATCTTTACCTTTTTTTTATTAATTTCCTATCAATACTTTCTAGGTATCTTTGTCTCTAACTTTTTTAATTCCTTTGAACGGTTTGTTATGATTTAATAATGCTCACAAAACTTTTTAACTACTCCAGCCTATTTTATTTATCAGTCAGTGCAGGCTAGGTTATACTGGGTCACAGTAACAAAGGCTTATTTCTTGTCCACACTACATATACATTCTATACTGTCAGGGGAGTCTACTCATTATAGTCACTCCAGGACACAGGCTGACAGGACGACCACCATCACAGTTCCATGCTTAAACGAAAGAGAGTTTGGGAGGGTCTCACATTCATCACCTCTGCTTAAAATTTGCTACCGGAACTAATCACATGGCCACATCAAATCACAAAGGGGGCAGGAAAAGCAATCCTCCCATTTGCTACGAAAGCAGAGATGGAACTTTTTTGGTGAAGAGGATTCATGACTACCATGAGTTACACTGTGGCTACTAAAAATGAGATTCCACTCACAAGAAATTTAAAGTTATTATTGCCCCATTTAAATAAGAATGCAAACTGTGGTGAATTAGCTGATCACATGGAGTCACCCATTCTTATGTAAGCCCCTGGCATGAAGCCACTACTGTCCACCACTACTATAAAACCTCTGCCCTCCCACTGTGGAGTGAGGAGATCTGCTCTGGTCCTGTAGCTGCCCAGGACTCGTCTTGTATGTAAGTCTCCCGAACATATTCATTTGCTGCCATACTGGAGTTGCCACCTCTTTCTTTGGTCTCTTGGCACCTTCCATTTTTGGACAGAAATTTCACATTACTAGTCCATGCCTGGACAACGGCACCTACCACCACCACCATCTTAGATATATAGGGAAATATTTTATTTCCATCAGGAAGAATGTGACTGTCTTAGTTATCTAGTGCTGCTATAACAGAAATACAAGCGGATGGCTTTAACAAAGAAAAATTTACTCTCATGGTCTAGGAGCCGAGAAGTCTAAATTCAGGGTGCGAGCTCCAGGGGAAGGCTTTTTCTCTCTGTTGGCTCTGGTGGAAGGTCCTTGTCATCAATCTTCCCCAGATGAGGAGCTTCTCAGCACAGCGAGCCTGCGTCCAAAGGACACACTCTTCTCCTGGCTCTTGTTTCTTAGTGGTATGAAGTCCCCATGTCCCTCTGCTTGCTTCTCTCTTTTTTTCTCTCAAAAGAGATTGACTTAAGACACAACCTAATCTTGTAGATTGAGTCCTGTCTCATTAACATCATAGAGGATTTACAACACATAGGAAAATCAGAATGCACACTGCCTGGTCCTGTGCCACCTTCATGATCGTTGGCATGTTTGAGTCCACTGCTGTGGCTATTGTGTCAACTGAGGGTTTCCTTCATTTTAGCTAACCCTCTACTTTGCCAACTATGATGTCCTTTTCTAGAAATTAGTCTTCCCTGATGTGTCCAAAGTAAATGAGCCAAGGTCTCACCACCCTCACTTCTAATGAACATTCTGTTAGTAGTTACTGATTCCTCCTGGCTATGGGCATTCTCATGCCATCCTCCACACACTGGCACACTCCTTCAGTGGTGGTATAATAGTATCACTCCAACAAATATTAATGAAAACCGTATTTCTGATGGAGTACCAAGATGTGTGATGTGGAACTGTGCGGTGTGGTTAAATCTCTTGACTCTGACTTGCTCCATGAAAACCAAGGGAGATGTTAGTGGAACTTATTCTGCAAAAGAGGAAGACATCGATGAAGGTGGTAGGTTGACATCTCTCAGTTCTACCTCAGAAGTTTGGCTCTTGCAACTTGTTGACAGCATTGGAGATGTCCCCCTCCCAAACTGGCTTGAAAAATTATGTCAGCCTTGTCTGCTCGGCTTTTCACCTCAGATCTTTAAGCATCGTGGCGTAAGGGGCGCTCACAGTGGAGATTGGGCACTTATATTTGAGGCTGCATTCAAGCATAGGTTCACCCTCTCCCACGTCATTGAAATATTTGCCAAGGCTGAATTCCATTGTGGCCTGTTTAAGGATAATTCCTGCAGTCTTAGGCTGACTTTCATCACTGTCCTTGCCATCACTCACTCCAATGCCTTATTTTCCCATCTTTTCCAGGTCTTTGTTGGTGGGTTCTCCTGTGTTCTCTGCCAAAACTCCCCCATGTCTTCATGTCATCAAAGCCTTCTCCACTTATTTGCCATGTGATATGCATTGTTTTTGACACTGTTCTTTATATCTTCTGTAACACCTTAGAAACTGTTCACGCGGCCGGGCCAAACATTTTCCAAGTCATTGACTCAGCCTGCTTGACGCTGTCCCAGGCTGTGTCAGCCTAATCACGTGTATAGTGACTGACTTCTACTGCTCCAGCAAGGTGGCTTCCGTGTCGGTGCTAGATGCCTCACAAGCCTTGATATAAAGCTTCCTTGTGCAGTGAACCTTGAAAGCCTTTACTACGGCCTGACTGGGGGACTGGATGAGACATAGTGTTTGGGGACATGAAAAGACTTCTGCGTTGGGCTGGGCATTTTCGAGTTCTGCACTGCATTATCCAAAGTTAATAATAAAACCTTGAAGACAAGCTTTTTGCCCTGGAGGTAGTATTCAATTTCTGGGATGAAGCAGTTGTAGGACCAATCTCAAAATACTTCAGACACCATCCACGTGTTTTTGCTCCACCTCCAACAGACTGGCATACAGTTCGGGTTTTTCCTTTTACGTGGTATCTGGGCAGTGTACATCATTAGGGTTTGCACTTAAAAGTTGCTCTTGGGATTGGTGCACAATAGTAACGTTGCAGACATTAAATAATTTAAAGCCAGGGGCTTTGGAAGCCATTTGCATTATATAGATTCTGTCTTAGTCATCTAGTGCTGCTCTAACAAAAGTACCACAAGTGGATGGCTTTAACAAAGAGAAGTTTATTCTCTCACAGTCCTGTAGGCTGCAAGTCCTAATTCAGGGCTTCGGCTCCAGGGGAATGCTTTCTCTGTCGGCTCTGGAGGAAGGTCCATGTCATCAGTCTTCCCCTGGTCTGGAAGCTTCTCTGTGCAGGAACCTCAGGTTCAAAGGATGCACTCTGCTCCCAGCACTGCTTTCTTGGTGGTATGAGGTTCCCATGTGTCTCTGCTTGCTTCTTTTATATCTCAAAAGAGATTGGCTTAAGACACTATCCAATCTTCTATACCTCATCAGTATAACCGCTGCTAATCCATCTTATTACATTATAGTGATAGAGTTTACAACACATAAGGAAATCGCATTGGATTACAAAATGGTACACAATCATACAATACTGGGAATCAAGACCCAACCAATCTGTCAACCCATAACAGATTCCTTTGTCAATTTTCTCACGAAACAAGTATATCATGTGTGGAAAATCTGCTCTTCCACATAACCCTTTTCTTGTCTGACACTCAGCAGGAATTTTTAAAATTTTTCTGCAGCCTTTGATCTGCAGAATCTGCCTCACCTTCCAGTTTAGCATTTTTCACACTGTAACACCATTCGAAATGTGCGTGCCAGCGTGCCAGCCAGCACTGGCCGAGAAAGATTTCACATTTCTCTGGCCATTTTCTTTGGCTTTCAGACTCATAACAGTGTCATCTACACTATTTTTACCAGTCGTCATCTCATAATACCACAACATTGAACTTACGGCCAACAGCACTGTAACTCATACCTTAACAAAGCTTATCTTTCTCTGTAAGATACATCATCGTATTCTTGCGCTTAGAACACTACACTGAGGCCGTTTTATATAGCAAAATCACAAAAAAAGCACAAAAATGAGAAAGCGTGGACTAAACAGTCTGTGAAAAGGACACGTGTTTACAGTATGAGAGCTGAAACAAGAAGGCAGAGCGCTGCCTTGTTCCACCTTAGCTGGGAACATGTTCGCTGGGCGAATCAAATGTTTTTCCACTCTGTGCACATGAATGTCTACAAATGACTGTGAAAGTGCCACAGATTATAATTTTGAGGTTACCTATAAACTTTAGTGAGTAGGCAAATTCGCACATACAGAACCTGGAAATTATGAGGATTGACGTTATATGTAAAACCAAAGCATCTATATTAACAGCATTCCTCCCTCAACAAGCTATTAGGGGCATTTTATGTAAAACTAATAATCAGTGATAAAAGATGCATCACTGCAACAGACTGAAATTCAATCAGTCCTCATCACACCAGGATTCACTGTTACTTTTTTCTTTGGGTTTAAAAAACTTACATTCCCCATTTTAAGTTTCTAAATATAGATACTGATGATTTGTTTTGGCTTTATTATGTCACTATGGGAATAAGTCACCAAAGTAACAATTTCCTGAAATATCAGAAATCCAAGTACTGCTTAAAATGTAAATATGTACAAAATACACACACATACCCATGTTAATTTTTTAGGGGCCATACAATAGCTTAAGTAAAAACAGATAAATTTCCGATACTGAAAGTGAAAAATGCCACTTTGGCATAAATTTATTTTTGTGCTTATATTACACAAGGACTTCAAAATACACGAGGCACACTGTATGATGAGTAACCTTTTCAGCCTTTGTTTCCTTCTTTAAACAGATGTCGACAGAAAAGATGGATTAGATGCAGTCTACTTTTTCCTCAGTTGGCTGATTTTTTAGAGAATTATAGACCATGAAACTGAACTTGGTAAATGTTGGAAGTTTATTGCAAGCAGCACCTGGGACCAAGAAAAGAGAAAGTCGTTTGGTTAAATACACACACACACACACATCCACTGCCATCAATTCCTACTCATAGTGACCCTATAGGACATGGTAGAACTGCCCCATATGGTTTCCAAGGCTATAAATCTTTACAGAAGCAGACTGCCACATCTTTCTCCTGTGGAGCAGCTGGTAGGTTTGAACCAGTGACTTTTTGGTTAGCAGCTTAATGCTTCAGCACTGCACCGCCAGGGCTCCTTTTGGTTAAATACAGGACGTGCATAGTTACATAGATATTGCTTATTTGCCTGAGCCACACAGAGCTACACCAGTGTTGCTCTCCTTAGTAGTGAGTAGTTAGCGGTCCATGAGAGGAAAGAAAGAGGCAGCCATCTTTGGGAACCTCAGAAAATTGACTGATGTTTCTACTCTCTCTATACGCTGTGGTTGCTACCATTATTTTATTCTGTTTTCTCAGCAAAAAACTTTTTTAGGCTCATGCTAAAAACTGTATTTCCCTAGCCACTATAGTATTCCCATCATTCACCTATACCCCTTCCACTCCCCTGCTCCTCACACTTTCCCTTCTAATAGGATGAGAGAACAGTTACTTCTTTGTGAAGATGTTCTAACACGTTCATCTCAATGCAGTGGTTTCCTGCTGCCCCGCCTATGTCAACAGTGGATTTCTTCCTCTGCTCCGACACCTAAGGGTTCCCCTCCTACTGTCATTACTTTAAATATAAGGAACTCACCAGCTACAATTATATAATTATCATTTTTACATCCTGTTAAATACAATTTTGAGCCTTCTAAGGTTTACTTAAGAGAGAATCAATGAAACTAACTTATTTTATACATAAAGCCTTTTCCCTCATAACTCAAATTGACTTTTGTGTCTTAGTTCTTAGAAAAGAATAAGGAATTCCTCAAAGTTTTCAAATGTAGAACTGTGGGAAGTAAAAGATCAAAGAACAATAATAAGCAGTCTAACCTAATAAGTCATATTGATCAGTAAGCTGTGTATCTTTTGCATCTGAAAATTCACTAATGAGAACCAGCAGTGGTTGATCTTGAACTGCTTTGAATCTCTGACAGGCTCACACAGAAAGTAAATGAAGGAAAGGACATGCCTAAAACACAGTGCAAAAAATAATTTTGCTAACTTCTTCTAGTAATACATTTTTTATCTTGGGGCCCCAAGAAAATCTAAATGGCTGAGACATTTAAATCATGAATGAAAAAGGAGTAGAGAAGACAATTTATTGCTATCTTCTTCTAGTTAATAGAAGTATTTAAATAGATTCACCCATCTCAACATGTACGAGAACTGAAGCTAAACTTTACTTAGGGAGGATGTAAAAGAGAAGCTCTAGAAGCCGAAGAATGATCGCAACTACCAGCTTCAGGTATATTTTTAACACTTTGTGGGTCTCCACAGATTCACGACTGATTAATGTAAATCAATTAACATTTATCCAGTGCCTACTCTATATAGTCCCCTTTCCTGTTATACAGTAGTAAAATACAATACACTATTTAAAAATGCACGTTTTTATTAACATTTTAAAGTTCACACAAATGAAAATTCCAAGTATAACTTACCGTAGCTTCCAGTCACATTGGCGCAAATAATAGCCCCGAAGAAATTTGGAAAATACTTCTGAATTCTTGAAATCACTTTTTGGCAAGCTATGGTTGGATCTTCTCCTCTTCTCATATATTCTACAGCTTGGTAGCTAATTTAACCAGAGGTGAAACTTTAGTGTCACAGAATAAATACTAACTCCAAATCGGGCTACCTCAAGTCAGAAATTTAAAAATACCAAAACTGTCACAGTTGATAGAATACATTACTGAATGGGAGTCAGTAACTCATACTAAAGCATCTACATCAAAGCAAGTAAAGTTTGAAACAATGTCAATTTTTTCAACTAATCCACTCATTAACGTCAGATAAGAAGGACCATTATTTTTGATTTTGCTGAATAACTGTCAATTAATTTATTAAAGCCAGACGTCCTAAAGAATAGAGGTCATAGAGGTCATATCTAAATGAGAGAAGGAACTGCAACCAAAGGGGAAAATAATATGCATGTACAAAGCATCCAGTTTTAATGATTACATTTTAGTAATTAATTGAACCCACTGACTGCATCCGCTACTTTTACCTTTAATTATTACAGTTCCATTACTCAGTTACCTTATATAAATTATTTAAACAGATCTTATTCTCATCTATTCAGAAGGACTATTGGCATTTAATTTAAATGATTATCATCATCAAAACGATAGGTAAAAAGTCGTTATGGACACAGCTTCTAAAAAGCTCCTGTGCACACAAATTTAAATTACATGGTGTTGCGCCCTGCCAAAAAAAATTACTTTCCATCCTGACAAAGAAAGTAACTTCACTAAAGGTCTCTGTCTTAGTTATCTAGCGCTGATGTAACAAAAATACCACAAGTAGATGGCTTTAACAAAAAGAGATTTATTCCCTCACAGTCCAGGAGACTAAAAGTCTGAATTCAAGGTGCCAGCTCCAAGGGGAGGCTTTCTCTCTGTTGGCTCTGGGGGAAAAATCCTTGTCATTAATCTTTCCCTAGTTTAGGAGCTTCTCAGCGCAGGGACTCTGGTTCCAAAGGACACACTCTGCTCCTGGCTCCGCTTTCTTGGTAGTATGAGGTCCTCATGTCTCTCTGCTGGATTCTCTCTTTATATCTCAAAAGAGACAAACTCAAGATACCATCTATTCTGTAGATTGAGTCCTGCCTCATTAACATAACTGCCTCTAATCCTGCCTCATTAACATCATAGAGATTAGGATTTACAGCATATAGGATGATCACATCAGATGACAAAATGGACAACCACACAATACTGGGAATCATGGCCTAGCCAAGTTGACACACATTTTTGGGAGACACAACTCAATTCCTAACAGTCTCTAAAATCCACAAACGTAAGAATTCAAACCTTGGTAGGAAGCGCATCAGTGTATCACCATCCCCGGTGGCTGCTGCTGCTCCTGCGGCATCATCAGCATAGGCTCCAGATCCAGGTATTGGCGAATCTCCTATACGGCTTTGCGAGGGCATAACACAACAATTCAGAGCAGGAAGTCAAGCGTAGAAAATAAATTATTTCATAAGCTGTTTCAACATAGGGTTATTTCCACTTAGCCTGATTTCTTTTTTTTAATTGCAGCAGAATACACATAAAATTTAACGTTTTAACCACTTTAAAGTGTACATTTCAGTGGTATTTTGTACATTTACACGATTGTGCAACCATCACCACTATCTACTTCCAGATGATTGTTTTTGAAGTAATTTCTTTATCAGAACACAGAAAAAAATTTCATTACTTTTTTAACTCAGGTTTTCACAAACGCCCATTAATTCTCTAAGAATTCAATACCAGCTAGTTATAGACAAAGATGGCACAGATTTACAACGACTCTTCTATTATTACTGTCTTTTATCATCTAATTGCTGGATTATCTCAACAGTTTCAAAATTGGTTTCCCTCACCTACAATCTATTCCTGCTTTCTATCTAATGTGCCAAACTTTTATCAAGATTTTCCCTTGCAATAAACCTTCAACACTTTACACTACTTCCACAGTAAGATCAGAACTCCTTAAACTGACTTAAAAAAAAAAAAACCAAACCTGTTGCCATCAAGTCAATTCCGACTCACAGCGACCCTACAGGACAGAGCAGAATTGCCTCACAGGGTTTCCAAAGAGCAGCTGGTGGATTTCAACTGCTGACTTTTGGTCAGCAGGTGAATGCTTAACCACTGTGCCACCAGGGCTCCACAGTAAGATCAGAACTCCTTAAACTGACTTCAGACTCCTTGAAATCTGGATCTAATCTTTTGTTGCAGTCCTACCTTCCACTACCTCACACTCAAAGTTTCTCTTCCACCAGCTGGAGCCCTAAATGTGAAGTGTGCAGTCCTTTGTACGTGCCAATCCCTTTGCCTGGATGCTCCCTGCAGTGGGCTCAGGGCTCAGCTCTGGCATCTCTTCACTGGCTCCAATAACTACCGCAGCTTAAATGGATCACCTGCGCTCTAAAGCACTGGCTTTATCCCTCTCCTTTGGCACTTAACCAGCTGCTGTCAAGTCGGGTCTGACTCATGACGACCCCAGGACTGCGCTCCACAGGATTTTCAACAGGTGATTTTTCAGAAGTAGACTGCCATGCCTTTATTCCAAGGTGCCGATAGTTGGACATGAACTTCCAACCTTGAGGTTAACAGGTGAGTGTGCTGTCTGCACCACCCAAGGACACCCTCTGACACTTACCACCGCCATCGCGTTGATCCCAACTCATAGCGATCCTATCGGACAGAGTAGAACTGCCCCATAGAGTTTCCAAGGAGCACCTGGTGGATTTGAACTGACGACCTTTCTGGTCAGCAGCTGTAGCTCTTAACCACTATGTCACCAGGGTTTTCATCTGGCACTTAGCAGACACTGATATATTTTCTTCCACATTAATCTCAGCTGTGAGATTTAGGCAATGTTTTGCATTCTGCATCTTCCCCACAGTACCTACCACACAGACTGATTTGTACTCAATACATATTTGTGAGATCTGTTGTACTGGACAACACTAACCCAGGTATTTTGAATTTTATACCATTTGTAGATGTGCCAGCAGCAGTATGTCCTGTCTTATGGATTACAATCATGCCTAGAAAAAAAGAAAACCAAAAAAATCAGTGTAGGTACCAACTCTAAAGTTTACCCCAAATAACACCAAATGACTGAGTAGCTGCTAACATAAATATGCTCTTTCATCAATGTCAGGTAGACGAGAATAGGAAAGTCGAGAATATTGAAAACTACACCAGTGGTACAATTTGTGTGTTCTAATGAGCTGGATTCATAGTTTTAACATCATTTGGCAGACATCCCACATTCCCACTTCTTCAAACTGCTCAGTTATTTTCAATGCCCTTTCAAAGATAACTCCAAAGAAAAATTATCTAAGATCTCCTGAATGTAGGATACAATGTATGATTATCAAAGAAATAAAATCCACAAGTGAATAGTCATTGGATTTTACACGTCTTGTATGAGGCAATTTACCAAATGGTTCACAGATGCTAAGAAAATAACATCTATATATATAGTGTCATACTTGGGAGTTAAAAAAACCAAAATCAACTTATGGCACACGAACAGGGATGAAGAAATTAAGAGCTCCATGAGGGCAATTAGAAATGGCTCGACGTTAACCATAAAAATTATGCAGAAGTCAAATTACCAATAGTATCATGACCATAATTATCTCCCGTTCCTTTACAGGCAGGATAATCTTGTTTTAAGATACTAGGCGGTTTGGGTTTGTACGGTCCACAGTATTTTGAAGCATCTGGAATAACATTCTGTAAACAAAATTTTATTTTTTAAAAAGAGTGTTTTTAAAAATCATCCAAGTAGCTATATACAATCACCAAACATTAGCCGAAACCAAAAAAAGACACTGGTTAACTCAAAGATAAGAATTAAAACATAGCAACATTTTACATGAAGAGAGGGATGTAATTTTATTAAGTATCTATATTGGTCTCAGAATTACATAATATGGGTTAGACACCTATATTGTCTGGATTAGATTTCTGATTTTTTCTCTAAATGTATAAAATTCTCAGTACAATGGCAGATATAAATTAAGATTTTAATTAGCTATCAATCCTCATACACAATCTGACCTTCAAATTTTAGAATTCGTTCATTGGCCAAAGTAGAGGTCTTGAATTTAAGGTAAAATCTGTTTTAAAACCTCCCCCCTCTCCAAAGGTATGCTAATGTAAACATATTCTAAGTGATACTCTAAGATTTGTTTATAAATCTTAAAAGCTCAAGAAAATAATCCAAACCTATAAATTCAGGTTGTATATATAGATTGGTGTTAAGGCAAGAAACATAGGACACATGCCTTAAAGATTAGAGCCCCAGGTATCCCTCCTAACCTGATTCTATGAGTCACCTGTTTCAAGTGCTAATCCCAGAAACTCCTTGTTTCTTCAAAGGTAATTAGGATTTAGGGAAGAAACAGATGCGAGACTAAGCCAGCCTACAACAGCAGAACTCTGAACAGTAAAAGCAAACTGATTTATGCTAAAAGCCCTATTGGTTTAAGGACAACTTACCCCACTAGTAGCATAACAGACACCTAATTATAAATTCTCAAGTCAAATAAGGAAAAGATACTGGATATACTTCACATACGTAAGATTTAAGAAATATCATTAGACTAATGGTTTTTGAAGGTTGATTATTTTAGACTTGGAACCTTTTGTTAAAAGCATTTCAAGCACAGCAGCTTCGATGTAGGCAGCTCCCTCTCCCCACTGTGGCACTTTAGTCTGAAAAATTTGCCAGAGACCAGGAGTTCTGCATCTTGTACGTGCGTTCAATTTAGCTAGGGAGCTTTCAAGAACACCCATGCCCAGAGAACCAATCTAAACCGCTGGTTCTAATGTGCAGCCAGGATACGAAACAGCACCCCAGACAGTAGGTGGGCAACAGCAAGCAAAGGGGACATCACTTAATATAGTCAAAGGATTTACTTGCAAAAATTAAACATCTACACATACCCTCCAATAATTTGGCTGGCAATTCCGAGCAAGCCAAGCTGCATGAAGAGCTTGAGAAGTATTGGTAGATAAATCTTCATTGATAAAGCCCATACTTTCAGCGAACTTAGTGGCTGGAGATTGAGAAGAAAAATGTAAATCAATCAAATATTCCCTTTTAAATAAAGCATATGTATAGGAAGCACTCTAGGTCAGTTGTCACTTAACTGGGGTACAATTGCCAGTGGGGGATACATGGAGACTTTCAAAGGAGTATTCAGACAATCAAAGTTATAACGGAATCAATTTCCGTATCAATTTTCATATGTAGTCTCCTAAAACTGATCTGCTGAGCCCCTTGGGGTATGTGTTGTGGCAGTTCTTTTCTTTTGTTCCCCTTCCACAATCTCCCTTCCACTTTACAGAAGAACAGGCATACCTCACACCAATACAAAATCTTACTGTTCTAACAAAGGAGCAATGCCCTGGGACGTAAAAGTATCGGGACACTGAACAAAAGGATGACTGGAATCCAATGAACGGGTAAGAAATCCTTTTGCTTGTCAGGTCATTTCCAATTCTGTACTTGAAACAAACCTGAAGGAAGCCTACTGGAGTTGTCAGCCAACAAATCATTAAAAATAATTTGGGTCATAGATCACTGCATGATTTTTGGTATATGATTTGGAAGGAGTTCAAATAATGAAGTGACGCTTTCACGACAAAAGTCCTTCAATTCCCATCTTTTTAAGTTAACAATTGTCCTTCGGCGTTACACCTATAAGGTGTAATACAGGAAGACAATTAATGCTGAATCCTGTTTTGGTCTAGCAATTACTCATCCATGGATACTGAACTATTAAAGAAAATCCTACTTTAATGACCAAAAATATGAGACTTAGAAATAAGCAAGTTATCCAAAGTTAAATAGATATAAAGTAAAATAACAGCACTATTTCGCATGGAATCCTATTTTTCATAGTGAAGATAATTGAAAACACACCAGAAAAACCGTTCTTATAGCTAGAATATACCTGACTCTCCTGCTAAAAGTGTGTGTGTTGTGTATTCCAGTACTTTTCGAGCCACACCAATAGCGTTTTTAATTCGTCTAAGATCTCCGACTGCTCCGACATCCATAGTAGTGCTGTAAGAAAAAAAATGCAGTAACAGATAAAAAGGTATTTTTATAGGTTCAGAGACTAAAAATATACTGCTTTTCTCCAAGCATTTTGTCGAATAAACTCTACCATCTTGGTGCAGAAGAGAGAACACCTCCCTGAAGTTCACACTGATTCCCACAGCCAGAAAAAAATTAAGGAACAAATAGAAAATCAATTTACCATATACCCCAACGGCACTAAAATTCTCAGTTCCATCCAGTTTATTGAAAAGCTTCAGGCAAACAACAGCACTTAAGGCTCCCCTGTTGCCATCGAGTCAATTCCGACTCATAGTGACCCTACAGGACAGAGTAGAACTGCCCAATAAGGCTTCCAAGGAGTAGCTGGTGAATTTGAACTGTCGACCTTTTGGTTAGCAGCCTGAATTCTTAACCACTGTGTCATCAGGGCTCCATTTAAGGTTAGTGGTGCATTTTTATAGCTTGCAGTTCGCTCTGTTCTAAGCAGACTACCTACTTGCACGCGATTTTTTTCCTATTGTTGTTATTATTCATTGAGAAGGCAAAGTCTTTATGTTTGGAAAGGCTGAGTACAGTAAGCTACAGGTTTTGTCCTACCACAAATTCATGCATTCTACCATCTAGCTCTCGAGAGAAGAACGTAACTATAAACGTTAACTCAACACGAAGCAAAGATGGAAGATCAACAGGTCCGACGCGCGTCCTTACCCATCCATGATCATGGCATCCAGCGTGGTTTCTCTGGACTCATCAGGACTCCCTCCAAATCCCACAGTGCCATCACACTGCTCCCTCTCACACACAGCACAGCCACTCTCCACTGCGTCCAGGGTAGAGCCTCCAGACACTAATGTCCTCCAGGCTGCCAATCAAATCACAAGGGTGCTTGTCTATTTACATATACATTTCAATGTCAGCTGCAACGAACCAGAAACGTTTTGATAACATAAACTTTTTTTTTTCCAAGTTTGCTCTATTTTAAGCTGAATTTTTAACAAATGAGTTTATGAAATGCTACCATGGAGTTAGAGTGGTATAGACAAAACTATATAAATTCAACTATTGACTATGAAGAATTCAAAGACTGGCTATTGATGCCCAGTGAGGGCTTTTTCACTTACTAATATCGATTTATTTCCGGAGTGTAAGAAAAGAAGTATTCCCTCCTTTAATTTTGAAAGGTATGACAGAATCTACTAAAATGCAGTTAAAATGAAAAATCCACTAAATTATAGCCTTAGTTTCTTCTGTATCATTATATTATTAGGAATATGCATAACAATACTCTTATTGAGGAACGCCTATCACAGCTAGTCTCAGTAACAACACTGCAACAGCAAATATTTACAACACAGGCTTCATATGAATTAACTTGTTTAATCTTCACACCAGTTCTTGAGGTAAGCACTATCCTTATTTTAAAAAAAGGAAACTGGGACTCAGAGGGAATAAGACACTTGTCCAAGGTCACAGCGCTAGTACAGTGCAAAACCAGAATTCAGAAGTAGCCATTCTGGCTCCAGAGGCCACATTTTAACATTCTACTCTCTGCTTTTGAAGAGCCCTGTACATTGAAAAAAAGTGGACGCAAGGGTGGGGTGGGAACGGTGCTCTTCAATGGACCATGTTTTACTGATTAAAAATAGAAGCCATCCTTGAAGACTTTAAGCATCACCACTGGGCCCAGAGGCTAGGGGGTATAGTGGGAGATGTCCCCCTCTTCCAAGTCACGCAGCTTACACAGAAACGCTCCCTGCCTCGGCTGCTGCGCTTTCCTGTCTCATTATCACTGGGATTTGCCTTCTCACAGCTGTCTCCTCATCTTCTCTGACTTCTATTCGCTGCCGATAACAAACTCAGCTCCACCAAGTTCTAGAGCCAATTCAGCCCTAGAAAGGAAATAAATTAGCACCCTCACAGGGTGGGATCTGAAATTACTCTTGTATGTCTCAAGGCCAAGAAACAAACAGGTACAAGACAATGCGAAAATGCCAAGATAGATGTATGCACAGGACAATGTCATAGAAGACAGGCATGTGACTCAGGTTGGGCGTGAGGGCAGTAAGTCAGGGAAGGCTTCCTGGAAGAAGTGATGCCTTTAGCTTAGTGGTTCTCCAGACTGGCTGAAATCTGTATCACTTGGAAAACTTTAAAAAACAGATGCTTTGGTTCCAACAGTTAAATCTCAAGATGTGGCATCCAGGCATGTCTATTTTTGAGAAGCTCTGCAAGTGATTTTAACGCACAGCCAAAGTTGGAACCTCTCTCCTGGCTGAATGTTTTCAAGTCTGGTAGGTGACGGCTGAAGAACATTCCAGACACCAGAAACAAAATGTTACCATGTGGCAAAAAAGCGTAAACGTGGGAAAGAGCACGCTTTGGGAGATACTGGTCGTTTGCAAAGCTGGAGTACCCCGTACTGGGGAGAAGTGAGAGATGGGCAGGAGATAGCCCGTGAAAAGACTGGATCCCAAGCAAAAGAAAGCATAGGTCCTACTGGAAGACTTTAAGAAGAAAGGTCAGAACTGATTTAGGTCAGCAGCAGGGTGAGAAACGTACTACCGCGGGGGCTTGAATAGGAGAAGCAATCCTAAAAGGTGAGGGCCTAAAATGTAGCAGTGGCCTGGAAGATGGCGTAAGGGGTCAACTGCAGGAGATGCAGGAAGGCCTGGCCCAGTGCTCGCTCGCCCTCCCGGCTCCCATAATCAGGGGCGAGCCGGCCGTCCTCCTTTCCCGGCGGTGAGCCCTCGCAGCGCAGCCACCCGCGCCCAGCCGCCGCCCGCACCTGCTTCAGTTGCATTCTTAAAAGGCCAAGTGTTGACGACCAGGGGCAAGGGGCTGGAGCTGCGTACCAGCGCCGGGCCGAGCAGAAACGGCACAAGAAGCAGACGCAGGTTCGACTTCCGCGCCATGGCTGCACGCCGGAGGGAGGGGCGGCTCGGCGCGGTCCCTGCAGACCTGCGGTCGGTCCCAGGCTTCACGACAAGGTCACGAGAGGGCACTTCCCGCTAAGACCTTGCTCCCCGCTCTCCGAACTCGAGATCCCCAGCGCCCCGCCCACCTGGCGGCCACGCCCACTTGCTTCAGGGTCGGTCTGCGTTATCGCAACTCTCGCGAGACGGGGGGGGTGGCGGCTCCTCAGGGAACGCGGGGGTGTTACGTTCCGCTGGTGCTGTGGCTCGCTGCTTAAAGCGCTTGTTTTTAGGTCCCACACAGACATTTTTTTTTTTTTTTAAATACTAATCAACTAAATTGTTGCTTTCTAATTCTTAAAGGCAGAACTAGTTTAATATTGAAAAGTTAGTACGAAATCATGCAACCCTGTGTCGCATGACCCTAGGAAGTTTGGGTAATGGTTGTGTACTGCTCACTTGGGTTTTACTTATTATCCTTTTAATTGAAAACTCAAGGTGAAAAGTTTGCCAAGCTCAAACGGTACTTTCTGGGATTCCTAGTCCCAGAGATCTGGAATGGTTGTTGAGGACAGATGAGGCGTGCCTGCTTACAACTAGATTCATTTCAGGTTTTTCCACCTGCAGCCTTTTTGTAGGACGTCCTTTCCTCATAAATCCGTGAGCTGGAAGAGAAGGAGAAAAGAGTCTGTGGAAGCAGAAACGTACGCTCCACACAGCTCAGTGAAGTGCACTTTCTGCACCTCCAGGGCCACAACGCTGCCTCCATTCCTTTCGGAATGTATTCTACCCCTGCCTGACACCATTAGGTGCTATATAAATGTTTGAATAAAAGGAAAGGAGACCTTGCATGCATGGTAGAAGCTGCTCATTTTGATAGTTCGGTTGCTGGAAAGACGTGAGAGTAAGAACCAATAATCCGTTTGGGGTCTGGAATGCTTGCCTGTGTTGCCAAAGGAAGCTACGAAATCAAATAATTTTAAAGGGCATCTATCGATATATACAAACTTATAAAATATGAACTAGGAGTTGTGAGGGTTACAAAACTTTTAAAGCTTTTATGGGTACGAAATTAAATACATGATTTTAACAGCATAAAATAGCCTTAAAGAATTACCCCAAGGCTGGGAAGTGCTATTTAAAAGTTAGTGTAATGAAAGGGAAGTGTTATAAATTCCTACTATGGAAGTTTGCAGGAGGACAAGCCATTTGTGCTGGGCTGCTCAGGATACTTTATAGCCCTGGTGGCGCAGTGGTTAAGAGGTCACTGCTAGCCAAAAGGTCAGCAGTTCAGAGCCACAGACTGGTCTTTGGAAACTCTATGAAGTAGTTCTACTCTGTCCTGTAGGGTCGCTCCAAGTTGGAACCGACTCCAGGGCACCTAAGAGAAACAACTCAAGAAAAGCTAATGCCAGGTTATATTTGACAGAGCAGTGGAACAGTCCATTTCATGTTACTTTCAGGTTTTCTATTAGCCCTAAATATAACTGGATTCCTTCTGCTTTATTTTAAGGCGAATTTAAATAAAAAGGGATATATGTTAATAAGGGAATAGATCTTAATTAAAAAAAAAAAAATTCCACAGTTTGCCCAGCACCATCCCTACCTTTTTATTCTGTCAAATCATCAATTATACATGGCAGAGATATGTAGTCTTATTGATAAATCAAAAAAACTAACTACAAAATTATTTTTATTTAAATTGTGAATGCATTACATGATTTTCTTTGATAAAAAGTTTATCTTTCTAAGTAAAACTTATCAATACGGCGGGAGTGTTCTGAAGACCTGAATTTAAAAAATTTAGGGTCACAACATATCAGTCATGGTTAATTCATGTAATCTTCCTGAGCCACAATTTCCTCCTCTGTAAAATGGAGATAATACTAGTGATCCTGCTTATTTAACAATGTTGGTGACCTGAGGAAGGAAATGCAAGAGTATTTTGCATATTATGCAAATTAAGTAAAATTCTGTTGTTTTAATTAGCGTTTACCTAGCATCTATCAATTGATGTCAGCGAGGAGACAATCCAGAAAATAACAAAGCAGCAAGGATAAATCAATTTGAGATTCAAAAATTTTCACAGAAATAATAATTTTTAAAAAGTTGGATAGATACTTATAATAATTTAAAGTAAGTGCTTAGAATTTCCCTGAATGTATTAAATGGGAGTTAAAAATAATGTTTTCATTCTATTGAGCTGTCTACAGTTTGGTTTAAATGTTTGTAAAGATGGTCAAGGGCAATGTTGTGAGATATCGGAATGTCTTTAAAACAGCACCCTCAAATCTTACAGAGGAGGCAGCCTCAAATGGAACCGTAAATGATGTTACAAATAGAGCCTCTCTGTTCGCTGGTGCCCCCCTGCAGCCTCTCGCCGTTGCTTCTAAACTTCATGACTTTCAATTTATCAGTCTCCGAAGGATGAAGAGTTGAGTCTCTCCTGATAGCATTTGAAGCTGTGGTTGCAGGGAGTCTAGGTATTTCAAATCTGAGGCTTAAAAAACTAAGCCATCCCCTCCGGCTTTTGCAGTGATGCTGTGAAATCCATTTGAGAAACATGCCCAGTTTTGCTACTTGTTCAAAGCTGTAAGCGTGACTTGGCATTGAAATAATAATTTCGTTTTCAAAAACTCCCCACTGAACTATTTCTTGGGTTATCTAAATACAGGTTATTTATTTGACTGACATTTGCTCTTGTTCGATTTGCAAATGATAAGTAATGATTTTTTGCTGATGTCAGAGAATTATGGTTCCGTGTTTCTAAAATAAACCTGTTTTACATTAATCTGGGAGCATGTGATGTTACTGCCTGATTGTATGTTCTGGATGTAATTATAGTCATTATACAGAAATAAGTGTCATCTTATTATTCTCTAAACGTGAAAAGAGAGTATCTTTTTTTTTCTGAAATAATTTTCCTGGTTCATGTGCCCCAAACCATTTGTCAAATCAATAGCAGATTCAAATCACAAACTTTTTGACTTTTTAACCTGTAAAAGTCATCTTTGTGACTTATGAAGACCAAGACTGTAAAGGGGAATGTTGGCCTATTCAGTGATTTCTTCTCAAAATAACTTACATGCAATGTATTTTCAATTTGTAATTGTAATACTGGGCCACTGCTATAATAAAGTCGTCATAATGAGGATAGAGTAGATCACTTTACGTGGTCAAGTATGCTGTTTATGACAATTGTTTATAGTGTTATGATGTTTTCATGTATGTGATCCATTACAATAATAAAGCTCTAGGGCAAAGAAAAAACTTAATGCTGATTTCCTACCACTTTAAAAATTACTTTGACATTGTTAACTTGTAGCACAGATGATTTTCATGCAGAAATTTAACAATAAAAGATTCTAAAATAGCACTACCTTACAGTAAGTACTCTACAGATTATCCATTTGAAATAATAGTCATTTTTCTAGCATTATTTAAATGGAAAAATATTGTAATAATGAACAAATATATCCTCGTATCCAAATAGTCAGTTATTTCTTAATGGTTCATATAAAGATATGAAAAGAAAGACTATTCTACATGTGACTTACTGTTTTTTTATCTTTTAGAACTTACGTGTTCTTCAAAAATTTCTAGGTACTCTCCCATTTATTAAAAATCACTCACCATTTTTTGGAATACATCTAGTGAAAGATCTTGATATTATACACACTAGTGTGTAATGTGCCTCTTTAAAAAAATTATTGCGCTTTAGGTGAAAATTTATAGCGTAAATTAGTTTCTCATTCAAAAATTTATACACAAATTACTTTGTGACACTGGTTGCAATCCCCACAATGTATCAGCACATTCCCCCTTTACCTTTACACCCCAGGTTCCCCATGTCCATTCATCCAGTTTTCCTGTCCCTTACTGCCATCTTGTCTTTGATTTTGAGCAGCTGTTGCCCAATGGCTCTCCTATACTTCACTTGATTGAACCCAGAGGCACGTTCCTCACATGTGTTATTGTTTCCTTTATAGTCCTGTCTAATCTTTGGCTGAAAAGTGGATTTTGGAAGTGGCTTCAGTCCTGAGTTAGCAGGGTGTCTAGAGGCCATAGTCTCAGGGGCTCCTCTGGTCTCTGTCAGACCAGTAAGTTTGGTCTTTTTTTGTGAATTTGAATTTTGTTCTACATTTTTCTCCTGCTCTGCCTGGGACTCCCTGTTGTGATCCCTGTCAGAGCGGTCAGTGATGGTACCCAGGCACCATCTAGTTCTTCTGGGCTCAGGCTGGTGGAGGCTGTGGTTCATGTGGTCCATTAGTCCTTTGGATTAATATTTTCCTTGTGTCTTTGGGTTTCTTCATTCTCCTTTGCTCTGAACGTGGTGGGAGCACGTTCAAACAGATGTATCTTAGATGGGTGCTCATAAGCTTTTAAGACCCTAGATGTTACTCACCAAAGTAGGATATAGAACATTTTCTTTATGAACTATGTTATTCCAATTGACCCAGATGTCCGCCAAGACCATAATCCCCAGGCCTCAGCCCTAGTAACTCAGTCCCTCAAGGTGTTTGAATGTGTCTAGGAAGCTTCTATGGCTTTGCCTTGGTCAAGTTGTGCTAACTTCCCCTATGTTGTGTGTTGTCTTTCCCTTCAGCAAAGTTAACACTTGTCTACCATCTAGTTAGTGATTTCCCCTCTGCATTCTGCCCTTCCCTTGTAACCATCAAACATTGTTTTTTCCTGTGTGTAAAACTTTTCTTGGGTTTTTACAGCAGTGGTCTCATACAATATTTGTCCTTTTGTGATTGACTTATTTCACTCAGCATAATGCCTTCTATTTTCGTCCATGTTGTGAGATGTTTTGCAGATTCATCGTTGTTTTTTTATCATTGGGTAGTATGCCATTGTGTGTATGTACCATAATCTGTTTATCTACTTATCTGTTGATGGGCACTTTGATTGTTTCCATCTTTTTGCTATTGTGAATAATGCTGCGATGATCATGGGTGTGCATATGTCTATTCGTGTGACGGCTCTTATTTCTCTAGGATATATTCCTAGGAGTGGGATTGCGGGATCTTATGGAATTTATATTTCTAGCTTTTTAAGGAG